AGAATTTAAAGTTTTACATGTTATTTTTTAGAGCTTATTTAATCTATTTTAAAATAATACTATGAGAAGGCATTTTTTTTTTTTTTTGAAAGTTATAAAGCACTAATACAAATCAGCATCATTTTCCAGAGCACAGTGTTGGGCTTTTTTTGAACTTATTTCACAGACATTAAAAGGGAGTGGCCTCCCTACTTCTCAGATCTGAGGCCTCGCTTCTCTAATGAAAATCCCCTGTTCTACTTGAACCCATGAACACACACCTCTTAAGTGCCATGTTTATGGGACCTTTTGGGAAGTGTTTTCCAAGAATGTTTTTTTCTTTTTTTTTATAGCTTGTGAACATTTAATTTTATTTAAAGATGATGATTTTAAAACTCTCAGATATTGGAGAAGAGGGTACATTAGAGAAGTTTTTTTTTCCCTGCTTTTGAATAGTATAATTGCTTTTAGTGATATTGATGGCATCAGTATGAGTCCATAGAAAGAAAACCTGTACAAAGGTTTTAAAATGTATTGTTGAAAAGAAGTGATGAATTTTAATTTGGAAAAAACTGAATATAAAATATTGCTAACATGGCATAGTGTTAAATATAACAGTAATTTAGTAAGTCCTTTTAGACCACCTATTTAAATTGACTCCAGTAATCTTCTTAAGGATTGATCGTAGCCATCATTTATTGGCTTAAAAGTTAAACTTCAAGGAATATATATTATCAGTGTTAAATCCATGTTTTGTGGAGCTTTAATTAATGGAGGTGAAGAAGTTGGGTGTTCATAAGATACTGGTGGGGCTGGTAGTGAAATAAACATCGATCTATTTTAGAAAGAAGGAATTTTTAGTTTTGCCTCAAGCAAACCAGAAGTGTCCACTGCTTAAAATCTGTTTAGAGTGCTGTGTGTTAAAGTCTTTTTGCTTTAGGTAGTACCAAATAATCTACTTCAGTAATAAATAATAGATGAATATGATGAATGAAGATAAGGGCTGGCTGGGGGGCTGGGAATTCTACTTCCAGTTGGTGAATTAGCTGGTGTGTGACACCTCAGGCAATTACTTAGCTTTTAATCTGTTTCCTCTTCTGAATATAAGTATGGAGCCTATACTACTCAAAATGCTGATTTGTGTTTAAGTCATCTTTAAGGTACCTCCCAGATCTAGAACTATGATTCTACGTATTTTTAAATACTTCTACTTACATGCTTTTAAATGCTTCTACTTAATTCTCTTTCCCTTTTTAATGGTTCATTTCATACTTAAGAGCTTTTGCTAAAAGAGAATTGTTAAGCATCCATTTCCTGGTTCACCTATATATACAGTCTTTGTTCTCTTAAGGATTTATGTAGAGAAGAAAAATTACACAGACAAGCAAATGAGGACATTTTCTAAATGCTTCTTGCTAGTTAACCACTGAACCTGTGAACACATAGGAACATTGTCATTCATGCATTTTTCCATTCGTTTAAAATGCAAGCCATTTGAACACTTATGTGAAATGTGTGGTATATATGACAGGAACTAGTAATAAGTGAACAAAATCTTCCAAAACAAAATTCTAATTGTGGCTTAAAACAAACATGGACATTATTTACTTACTGTATTGAACTGAGAGGGAAACTTTTATGCACTGGGTGAAGTATTTAGCTAGATGACATCGGGGCGGTGGGGGTAGGGGGTGGTCTGAGTGAATCACAGCACAATTCCTAAAACACATTTCACATACACATCAGCCAATAATAAACCTGATTAGGTTATAAAATCAAGGGCACCTAATAAGGATCTACATTCTGAGACTTTTGTGACAGCCCATATTTCTCAGAATTATTTTGACACTTTGAATCTATTCCAGAAGTGTTGCTATACAGGGTGTGTGACAGAACAATACAAAGAATACAAAGATAGAAGCCGATGCTGACTTACTATACATTTTTAACTACAAAAGCTTTACACCCACTATTGACAGTGAAGTAACTTTCTACAACTGAAAAGATCGCTGAACAGGTTTTTTATTCTCTTTTGCTTTTAAAGCAAGAAATTACACAAAATTTTATTATTATTACAAATACTTTTTAGAGAGCACACATGTATTACATAGGAAAAGGGTTTCCTTTAACTGGTAAACATAAAACCCTTCCATGCTTGAATTGACAACTATTTGGGGAGTAAATGTTGAATGGCATTGATTAATTGGGTGAAGTTTCCTTACCACTTGGGGATCCTGTGAAATTATGTTGTCATTCCTGTTGGCCCAGCGAAACAGATTAACATCACTTGATGCTAACATTCTCCATAAAGATACAAAATGAAAATACCTAATATTTAAAAACATCTTTTATTCATCATAGTCACAGCTTTTTAAAGCAGGAAAATGTCCAGACACGTGATAGATTAGAATCTAAAACTGATTGAAATTAGAACACAGACATCCAAGTAACCAGATAGTCTGGGTTTAAAAAAATTTGCCATGGTATTGGTTAAAGTGTACTTTTAAAATATTTTAATTTACCTAATTTTTCAAATATTTTATGCTATTAAAATATCTACTGCATACTTTTGTATATGTATTTTTAAATTTTAAAAAATGAACGGGCTGGGCAAAGATGATATAATTTTAGATTTTTCATTTCCAAGACATTTAACTAGATTCCCAATCACTTCATTCAAAAGCTTGGTCTTGTTTTTTTCCATAGGAAAAAGTCAAAGTCAGTTCTAAAAACGGTCCTCAGAGTCAGGAGTGAGCTGTGGTGCAGACTGGACTTGTAGACAGTGTGCAGGAGGGGCACTGACAGAGGAGAGGCAGGCATGCCAAGCCTCTGTTAAATTACTGTTTTTGTCTTGCTTGTTAAAAAAAACAGTCTTTTGATTTCACAAAGGCAAATTGTTGTGATTTTTTTTTTGATGCTTCAAGCACATGTTAACTGATTTTTAATTCCTTTTGGTTCCTCCCATTATCCTAACATAGGACTTTCATATTAACCTCAAAAGCTGATCCACCCAGGTTGAGCAGAGCGTCACCAAGGGGAAAGGAAACCTTTTTTACTTTTACAGAAACAAATGTTAAGATTATATATACATGTATTCTTTACATTGGATATTGTATTACAGTCCTCCTTACAGGAAATGAAATAGTTTAGCACTCTTAGCATTAGCATTCCTAGATTGGTGTCTATAGCTACCGTTTTAAAATGTATAACCTGAAAATGAAGTTAATTTTGCATTAATAAGAGCACACCATGATCTATGTAAAAAGACTGTCCATTTGGTGTATTTTTTTAAAAGAGAAAGCACTTTCATATTAACAAGTAGCATGTGTATGAATTTTAGATTTTCATATTTGTTGTGTCTGTATTCAGTGAAGTAAAATTGAACATTCAAATGTTTGTTGATGGCAACATTAACTGTTAAATTAAAGCACCTTATACTCTGCTGCTTAAACTTGCTTGTAATTGCACCTTTGTTACCTGCACATTTTCACATAGAATATTGTTGTTAACATTGCCTCATGTGGGTCTGGATGGAAGGTTAGTGGGCCTACAGGATCATTTATTTATATTGTTTATATTACAATAATATATTGTAGACCAGTTGTAAGTTCATTTCTTTACAAATAAAAGCCTCTTCCATTTGGCTGGTCTATTGAATAATTTCTTTTTTTAAGTTTATGAGGGCTTTGAAATAGTTACAAATTTGCCTATTTGAAATCTGCAGAGTGTAAATCTTTACTAATGAAGTACAATATATTTTAAAGTATCTCAGTCCTGGGGCGCTCCTGGGTGGCTCAGTCGGTTAAGTATCTGACTCTTCATTTCAGCTCAGGTCATGATCTCCCAGTTCACGAGCTCAAGCCCTGCATCGGGGTCTCTGCTGACACTGCAGAACCTGCTTAGGATTGTCTCCCTCTCTCTCTCTGCCCCTCCCCCGCTTGCTCTCTATTTCTCTCTCTCAAAAAATAAATATAGTTAAAAAACTTTATTAAAAAAAAGTATCTCAGTCCTATGTAATGGCGAATTAGAAAGTGGTACACTTAGTAACACAGAGAAGGGACCAAATTCAGAAATTGTGACAGATTAAACAAAATCTGTAACAAAGTGACTTCAGATGATTCTGCCGTTTGGATTGATTTACTCTAGCAGTTCTCAAGAGGGGGGCAATTCTGCCGACCAGGGTAAGTTTGGCAGTGGCTGTAGACATTTTGATTGGCATCTAGTGGGCAAAGGGAAGGGGTGCTGCTAAATATCCTACGATGCACAGGGCAGTCTCCAACAAAAAGTTATCCGACCCAAAATGTGAATAGTGCTGAGGATAAGAAGCCCTCCTTTACTTTTACAGTGTAGATACACTGCCAATGTGATTATGATTTGACATGCAAGTATGTGACATACAAGCTATAAATGAAAATGAATCTGGTATGTCATGGAAAGAGACCTAGTCAGTACTCCCAATTCTGTAAGGTGAGCAACTAAACCTTTTCTTCCAGGATTATCTGCATTAAGAACAGAGATCATTTTTTTTTTTTCAATTACGTAAATTTAAATTGAGCTACTCTCTCTTCCCCTTATGTTAAAGAATATTTATATCAAATAATTTTCAGAAAATGATCTTGATTTTCTTGCTCTGAATTTAATAAAAGTGTTTAGTTACATTTGTATGTTACTGGCAGTGAATCTCAGATTTACATAACAGTTTGCATCCAGTAATTTTTTGGGTAACACAGATCAGTATTACTGGCCAAATATTAACTCGTTTCACTTCTTTGCTAAATTAGTATTTGCAACATGCAGTGTTCCAGAACAGGCATAAACATTTTTCTTGGAATTATTTTGTTTTTAATACCATAGTCCCAAAAGACACATTGTGAAAAGGTATGAAAGTTGGGGCTGGAGGCATGGGGTGGGGGGCGGTTTCAGTTCAATCTTTGTATGTCCTGAGTCGTCATTCTTTCCCATTTGTAAAATTATGATTCTTATTGTAGTTGTCAGTTTGAATTAGTTTTCACATGGCAACATTAACAAATTATTATTGATATAGGCTTTTCAATTTGCTCAAGATTATGAATTGTAAGTGGAATGAAGCAGCATTTCCAGTTGACGAAAGGATCCGCAGGTAATGCAACATCTCTCAAATTAAGCTTGTGACAATTAAACCAGTAAACTGTGGCAATGAGAAAACTATTGACAAAGTACAACCACGGAATGTTCATCTCAATATATGCTGGAATCTGTACTTTAAGTAGAAGGATAATTACTTGAAGTAGTACAAATGGTAGCCAGGTACCGAGAAAACAGATAATGAACTTGGGCAAGAGTGCTTTCTTAGAGCTCAGAGTATAACTAGAATGGGAAGAAAAGGGAAAATACAGAATAGTCTCATTCATATAGGAAGTCATCCTAACAGCCTGCACCAAGGCAATCACTTCTGACCAAGAGGTTATAAAAGCCATAAATAAAATCATCACCATGGAAAATGACAGCCAGTAACTCTGAATGCTAATGTAGAAAGGACATTGATAAGAATAAACACTCTGTGCCGCCTTCAGGCTTTGATAGATACCTGGATCCCTCAAAACATAAGCAAGGACTGAAATCCAAATTAAAATTACTGTAAAGAAATAAAATATTTTTTTGCATTTCAATGCAAGCTTTGGAGTTTTAGAGAAATTCAGGTAATAATCTATACAAGCTATCAGGAAAACCGGATAATGCAAAAAACCGTAAGTAAATGAAATAATTTGAGTAAATAGGCAGATGTGGTATTTAGTAAACCTAACACCTAAAAGTACAAAATCTCTGTAGTAGTATATAATGGAAATGTTTACTAGAAGTAAAAAATCAATGAATGCTAGTGAAAAGCAAAAATACTCCATAAAATTGTGACAGGTGTTTTTTCTTCTCATTCCTAGTGTGAGGGTATTTAGTAATACTTTCCCAAGTATTATCAAGAATAGCAGACAGTTACCATCTAGGGACCGATTTGCTTGACGTAACTGGTACTGAAAAGAGCAGTTCCCGGAAGAAAGAGCAGTCATGTTTTTAGTTGAACTGCAGAAGGCCTGCTGAAATACACACAACAAAACACTGCTTCACTTTATTTTCCATCCCTGTAAAGAAAAATGGAAAGAAAACCTTGATGCTATGTCTAATTTAAGCCTTTCAAAGCAAGCACCTCTAGTCTCAACATATTTAATCCAGTCATTTTCCCAAATAAATTACAGGTGACCCTTGAACAAGAAGGGGGGTAGGGGGTTGATCCCCGGTACAGTGAAAAATCTGTGTGTAACTTTCAGCTCCACCAGAACTTCACTCCTAATAGCCTACTGCTGACTGGAAGCCTTACTGACAAGTCAGTGAACATGTATTTTGTAGGTTTTATATATATCCTATACTATATTCTTAGAGTAAAGCTAGTGAAAAGGTTAGGAGAATCATAAAATACATTTACAGTACTGCACTATATCTATTGAAAAAAATCAACACGTAAATGTACCTCTGCACATCAAATCTGTGTTGTTCAAGGGTCAACTGTAAATATATAAATAGGAATTTAAATTTCTCATAATACAGAATATGATCAAGAAGAATTAATGTGTATACTTCGTTCATTTTTTTTTTTTTTTTGAGACCAGGATGGTCCAGAACTTTAAGATCTCTAACCAAAATGTTATATAAAAATTACTCAACTTCTAGAAAAGTACAGGTTTTAGTTACTTGCAGAGAGAAATAGGAAACGAATCTACCAGAGCCAAAAACAGGCTTAAAACAGCAACCTGATAGTAATACTCAGAACAATCATTGACGGCTGTTAACCCAGTCTCACTCTGACTCCAGACAATGAACATTACCCCCACTCAACTTTTTGTCTTTTTGTTAGTAAAATTTAGGATAGCAATTTTCAAAGCTTTTTGGCTGCAGGATCATCATTCTGACACTCAAAGATAGAAAACAGTAAAGCTGAAAATAATGGGGACACAGATAAAGGGAAGAATGATAAAAGATGTATCTTTGGACATGACAAAGATCATGTTATGGCACTTGGACAGACAAGACAAAGAAACCGGGGAAGGAACAGGGGCTGAGAACATTAAGAAATGCTAGGTAAAGGCAAAAAGGAACAGGAGTTCAGGCTTGAGTGATTAAGGCATTTGGTGGCAGGAAAAAGAGAAGATGAAAAAGAAAGGTCAGAGGGGAAGAATGGAGGGAGGGGCATCTGGATGGCTCAGCTCATGGAGCATGCAACTCGATCCTGGAGTTGTGAGTTCGAGCCCTACATTGGGTGTAGAAATTACTCCAAATGAAATGAAATAAAAATAAAATGGAAGGAAATTCGAGGAATTTATCATAAAAAAACACGACCAAAAGTTTCTCTAAGACTGTTCCACCACAATGTTTATATAAACAACAAAACAAAAACACTAACAAACCCACACATAAATGCCAACAATTGGAGATGGGTTAAAAATGATGCATGGCACAGGGCACCTAGGTGGCTCAGTCGGTTAAGCGTCCGACTTCGGCTCAGGTCATTATCTTGCAGTTCGTGAGTTCAAGCCTCACGTTGGGCTCTGTGCTGACAGCTCAGATCCTGGAGCCTGCTTCGGATTCTGTGTCTCGTCTCTCTGCCCCTCCCCCATTTACGCTCTGTATGTCTCTCAAAAATAAATAAACATTAAAACAAAATTTAAAAAAATGATACATGGCACATCCTAATAATGTACCATTATGCAGTTATTAAAACTGCTTCTCGGGATAGGAGGAAGTTTTGACTCTTCCTCTTCTATAACTTGTTAAATGTTAACCTTATGAATTTGTTACATGTTAAAAATAAATTTCTACAGGATGTTTAAGTGAATTGCAGTTTACAAAATTATGCAGCAACATATCACCTAATTGTTAAGACATTATACATATACAGAAAATGACTAAAAGAGTATACATCGAGTATTTATAGTGTTATAGGTTTCTCTGAATTTCTCAAACTTCAAGGAAAATAGTAAGGGAACACCAAGCCTGAAAAATAAAAAACAAAAAACTCAATTTGCCTAAAACCAGTTAAATGATGATTAAATAATTTCAAGGGAGTAGTTGAGGATATTATCTGAGGGTAAAGAAAAAAATCCCGTGTGAGAGAAGGTGATCAGTTCTTTGGACAGATTGAACCCTAACTTGAGTCTTTCCACATTTGAGTAGAGAGTTCCAGTGATTTCTTGAGCTTCCGTGTTCGTCTTTTCATTGTCCCAACTTTAGCAAGAATCCTGCTGAGTCTGGTTTGCCAGAATCTGACCTTCAATATCTGATGAAGTTCCTCATCCCGCACCATCCCCCAGTGATGATCTATCACTCTGGCCTGCCTTAGCAAGAATCCCTCCTTATCCCTGATGTTTCCTCAATAATACTCCTCTACTAACCTCCACCTTGCTCGCTGGCTATAAATTTCTACTATTCCTTGTTGCATTCAGAGTTGAGCCCAATCGCTACCCCACTGCAAAATCCCATTGTAGTGGTCCCTGCACCTAGTGCAAAGGTCCTGAGTAGAGTCTGCCTTAACATTCTTTAACAAGGGTCATAAATTACTTTTTCTTGAACATAGTGTCATGGCTATAAATCTACCATGTTATAAGATGACTTACAAAGATACACAAATTAGGTATTTACCCCCCCCCCCACACGTGTGTGTGTGTGTGTATATATATATATATATATATATATATATATATATATAAAGAACAATTATAAAATCAAACCTATTTTATAACTAGGTAAGAAAAGAACCAATGAAACAAATTCTTTTGTATGCACAATTGTTTTCTATACTCAAATATATATAGTTTAAATCTATACAGTTTTAACTTGACCCTCTGCCAAAAAAGTTCCATTCAGATTTGATGTACAAAGGCAGAGAATCATAACTACCACCTTGACAAATGCCACTGGCCTTAAAAGTGGTGTTGTGGATCAGAAAACCGAGGATGGAGCGATAGAATATATGTAAGTCGCTTGGTGTGACACAGAAAATAAGGCTGTTTTAAAATAGCCAGTGTTGGGGCGCCTGGGTGGCGCAGTTGGTTAAGCGTCCGACTTCAGCCAGGTCACGATCTCACGGTCCGTGAGTTTGAGCCCAGGTCAGGCTTTCTGGGCTGATGGCTCGAGGGCCTGGAGCCATTTCGATTCGTGTCTCCTCTCTCTCTGCACCCCCGTTCCATGCTCCATTCTGTCCCAAAAATAAATAAAAAACGTTGAAAAAAAAAATTTTTTTTAAATAGCCAGTGTTGGGGTGCCTGGCTGGCTCAGTTGGTTAAGCATCCAAGTCTTGATTTTGGCTCAGGTTATAATCTCATGGTTCATTAGACTGAGCTCTGAGTTGGGCTCTGTGCTAAGCATGGAACCTGCTTAAGATTCCCTCTCCCTCTCCTTCTGCCCCTCCCCTGCTCACCCGTGTGTGCTGTCAAAGTTAAATAAACATGAGAAAAACATAGGCGGTGTTGGTTTAAAATGGGTGTGAAAAAGGTAAATAGAGTAGCTTCATATTTAGACCCGTCTAAAAAAAATATTTTTAGGGTAAAAGAATTACTTGTATAAAGTAGTTTTAACCTTTATAACTCATCCAAAATTAAACAGATTAAAGAATCCATGTTTAAGTGGTCAACATCCGAGGGATGTTTCCTGAGGTCCATTTCATCACTGGCTCTCAGAGAGGGGCCAACTGGAAGGACAGAGAAGCAGGCTAGTCTCTGGAGGAAGAAAGTAAGAAGGGATGATGAGGATAAAGATCAGTTGTAGCCACCAAGGTACTAGCCATGAACCTCTTCACAAGAGGAATGGAAGAGCGAAGACAAGTTGGGTGTGTAAGAGAATCATGAAGCTGAAAGAAACTAGAGAGGAGGGGGGAAAAGGCCCTGGTTAGAGACGCAACTTGAAGCAATAAAAAGCAGCTGAAAGAAGTCTATCGGAACACAGGGTTTTAGTCATTTTATGATGGTCCCTGAATATAGTGATTGTGGAAACGAATAAAAACTTTCTCATACCAATTTTGTGTCCCACTTCCCCACAAACCACTAAAAAGGTATTCAAAATTGCAGTATTTTGTTCTTTAAACCTCCAAAGCAAGACAAATCCTCTGATAGGCTACCTGTCCTGAATTTTCCCTTGAAAAAATGTCCACATGAACGGCAGGGATCCAGAGATTTGTAAGATACGGCTCTTTTCCTGAATGACTTTTTAAACTATTGTGAACTTTATAAACTATTTATGAATTAATTCATACGCTTCATATACAATGTAAATAGTTAACGTGGAAGTCCTTTTTAAGGCATCTTTGGGTTTGCACTGCAACCTGGCTAGTTTGGAAGAATTAGCAGGGCCGGAGGGAAACAAACCATGATTTCTTTTCACTGATCCGGTCTCTGGTTTCCTATTTAAAACCCAGTTAATTCTTAACACTACACAACACTTGACATACTCACTCTGCTTCCTCTAGTAGGTCTTTCTTGGCTGACAGTCTTCCAATTTCAATTTTACTGCCTTCAGTGATCTTACTCTTGGTACCTGGCATACCAGTGTGAACGAGCTCTGTGTGAAAGATAGAAAACAAAAATAACCATCATTAATAGCCATCTTAATGGGAGTTCAGTGTCATCTACTGGCTCTAGTTCTCTGCTTAGAAAAACTATAACTTTCTGTGGCATTAATTAACTGCTTATATTCTTTTTTTCCAGGAAAAGGAAGAAAGGGGATACATTTAGGTTGAAGTCTCCCAAAGACCCTGAGATATGTGTAGACGTAACATGGCACCTATTTGATAAAACCTTGTTTGCACCGCAGTGTTCGCTCCCGGGCTTCAGAGTCCAAACCAGAAGTTCTCCAACTGTTTGGTTTCAGGACCTTTTGACACTTGTTGCATATTAACATAAGGAACATTTTTTTTTTTTTGTAATGAAAGACTACTGTATTTTACCAAACAAAAAAGATTTAGGGAGCCGAGTGGCATTTTTTTTCACATTTCACAGACTGCTCTGGTGTCTAGCTCAATAGC